CAAACTCACTGGCGATGACGGGCCCAAAAACGCACGTGCTAAACGCCAGAAAGGCGCCGAGGAAGGCCATGACCTTCTCGAAGCCCGGCAGCACGATGGCCGTGAGGCCGACGAGGGCGGCAATGGCGATGCGCAGTGCCGCGCGCACGGCGGCGCGCGAGCGCGGCGCCCACGCCGCCGTCGCCGCGCCGGCGCGCAGCGAGATGGCCGAGCCGGCGAGCGGGTTGACGTCTTCGGCACGCGCCACAGGCGTCGTGGAGCCGTCGGCATCCGGCGCCGGCGGCTCGGCGGCGAGAATGTCGATGGCCGAGTCGGCGCCGCTGGCGGGCGGCGAGCGCCCGCGCCGCGCCGCCGCCGCGCGTGCCAGCTTGCCCGACGACGAGGCGCGCCGCAGCGCCGCCGGCGGCGCGTGCTCCTGCGACTTTTCGACGCCGAACAGCAGCTCGACGGTCGTGTTGATGGGGCGCACGGCGAGGGCAAACTTGCTCAGCGCCGACACGACGATCATCCAGATGGCAATCTTGTTGAGCACCGCGGGGTAGCCGGGCGTGCGCGAGAGGTCCTGCGTGATCTCGGAGCTGACGTGGCGCCCGAAGAGCAGGTAGCCCACGACGCCCATGCTCAGGTAGATGGCCGTCGCGGCGACGTAGGCGAGATCGAGCATGAGGGGAAAGTGGCGCGGGTCCTTGAGGTCCTTGTTGAGACTGGGTATGATGGGATGCGCCGAAAAGCCACTCATGATCAGCCCGAAGCTCAGCGGCACCTTCTGCCAGTCGGGCCACGCGCTCGTCGGCGCCGGCTGCCACAGCGAGCCGGGCGCCTCGCGCTTGACGATGCCGTCGCTGAGCACGACGCTGAACAGCGCTGCAGGAGGCCGCGGGGGGCCCAGCGTCAGCGCTCCTCTGCGGGATTGTCGATGTGGCGGCGCGCGCCACTGCAGCGCGACTCACTGATGATGCTGACGATGCCCACGACCGAGATCGGGCTCAAGAAGCGCAGCGGCAGGAACACGCTCGGCAGCACAATGGCGAGGCCGAGCGCCTTGAAGCCCGCCGGCGCCCACGCCTCGAGGCCGAGCGTGCCGTGGCCGGCGCGCGCGGCCGCCTGCACGAGGGCGTGCGTGCTGTCGCCGAAGAGAATGACGAGCGCCGTGGCGACGGCCCAGAGCTCGAGGCAGAAAAAGGCACTGACGACGAGACGCGCGCGCGCGCCAAAGGCATAGGCGCCAATGTCGGCGTACGTGCGCACGCTCGGCTCCTGCGCCATGATGCGCGCCAGCAGCTTGCCCGTGTAGTTGGTCAGCAGGCCGGAGAGCAGAAAGAGGCCAATGCCCGCGACCCAGCCGGCATACGCCAGCGCCAACGGCAGCGCGCTGCAGCCAGAGCAAGTCAGCCGGCCGGCCCCCCCTGCAGAACAAGACGCACGCGACTCACAGAATGCCGACGCCGACGAGCGCGTTGACCGTGTTGAACCAGCTCTGCCAGAACGTGCTGGAGCCGTAGCCCTGTGCGGCAAAGCGCGCGCCCGAGCTCATGCCCGACGACTTGGCATAGCTGGCGCGCCGCTGCTGCGCCTCCAGCATGCCGCTGCTGCGCCGGCGCGGCGCGGCGCCGGGCGGCAGCAGGCGCGTGTGCTCCGTCGGCGCCGCCGCTGCCGCGAACTCGTCCGAGCTCGCAGTCGCGGGCGACGGCCGGCTGCCGCGCGCCAAGGCACTGCTGCCGTCGCTGGACAAGTCGTAGTGCTGCCGCTGCTGCTCATCGCGCAGCTGAGCACGCAGCGCCGGCGGCACGCCGCGGCCGCGCGCCGCGGCGCCGAGGCGCTTCGGCGAGCGCGAGCGCGAGCGCGACCGCTCGTCGTCCTGCTCGTCGGCCAGGCGGCTCAGGCGGCGGTCGCGCATGCTGCCGCCCGCGCGCACCTCGCGGCGCCCCAGCGCACTGCCGGGCGCGCCTGTGCCGCTGCCGCCGCCGCCCGGCGGGCGCAGCGCGTTGGGCGGCAGCGCCTCGGCCCACTCCATGTTGTGCGCCTCGTCGAGCGCGCCATAGTCGCCCGACGAGCGGTTGCCGCTGCGGCGCTGCGCCGGCGCGCCGCCGCCGCTGTGGCGCCGTGCGCCGCCGCCGCCGCCGCTGCTGCCGTCGCCGCTGCCCTCGTACTCGTCGTCGTCGTACGCCGAGTCGCTCTCGTACTCGCTCGTCAGCGGCTCCTCGCTGCCCGCCTCCTCGTCCTCGTCGCCCTCGTCGAGCGAGTGGTCGAGGCCGCGCGACGGTCCCGCCCAGTGCCGGTCGACAAAGGAGGGCGACGTGGCAATGTTCTCGCCGTAGAAGGCCTGCGAGCGGCTGTAGGACCAGACGAGGTCGCTGGGCGTAGGGCGGCACCGTGTCAGCTGCGCATGGTCGAGTGCGGCAGGCATGCTGCTGGCGGCAGCGACGGCACAGTGTGCCTGACAGCCACGGCGATGCAGCGAGGGGAGGGCGGCAGCACAGCGCGAGTCTAGGCACGGCAATGTGCGCCGCAGGGCTCCCTCAGGCCAGCGCGAGGCTGGCCCGGCAACGTGCGCCGGCAGGGTTCCCAGCAGGCCCACGCTCTGTCCTGCTCCTCTAGGCACGGCAATGTGCGCCGCAGGGCTCCCTCAGGCCAGCGCGAGGCTGGCCCGGCAACGTGCGCCGGCAGGGTTCCCAGCAGGCCCACGCTCTGTCCTGCTCCTCTAGGCACGGCAATGTGCGCCGCAGGGCTCCCTCAGGCCAGCGCGAGGCTGGCACGGCAACGTGCGCCGGCAGGGTTCCCAGCAGGCCCACGCTCTGCCCTGCTCCTCTGGGCACGGCAATGTGCGCCGCAGAGCTCCCTCAGGCCCCACGCTCTGTCCTGCTCCTCTGGGCACGGCACCGTGGCGCCGGCAGGGCTCCCTCAGGCCCCCACGCTCTGCCCTGCGGCCGCCTCCTCGCCTGGGGCCACCAGCGGCCAGCGCTTAGCCTCACTGTGCGTGGCTCCGCGCCGCACACTCACAGACTGCTGCGCCACGGCGCCTGCGTGTTGTCGCGCAGGCTGGGCCGGCGGCCACTGGCGCCGGCGCCGCCGCCGCGCGGCACGGGCACGCCGGGGCGGCCCGGCGCGGCCATGGGGGCCGTTAGGCGCGTGTGCGGCGGCGAGAGGGAGAAGAAGAGGTGCCGAGGTGCGCGTGCAGAGTATGCGCGACGCAAGGCGAGAGGCGGAGAAGGGTGCGGGATGTGTGGCCGGTGTGGTGGAGAGAAGGCAGGGTGCAGACGCGCGGGCGTCAATCGAGGGCGGCAGCGGCGCAGGCTCGGCAGGCACAGCACGCGCGCGGCAGCAGCACACAGCAGGCAGCAGGGCGCCGCACGCTGCAGACGAGAGAGAGAGAGCGCCCGAGTCTGCGCCTCCCTTTCCGCTCTCCGACGCCTCCTGTGGATGCCGCAGTCGCCGCGTTGTTGTGTCATGCGCCGGCAGCATTCAGGCCAGGGCGCCGCTCGCTGGCAGCGCTTTCGGCTCCTCTGTCTGCTGCGCTCTGCTGGTGCGGCGACGAGGGCTGCTGCTTGACAGGCGCCGGCACCGAGCACAGCACAGCACGCAGCGGTGCTGGGCTGCGGCAGCACATCCTTCCTTTGCCAGGCGGCAGCATCCAGGGGGGCACCGCCCGCCGTGCACTTCATCCTGCGGGCCGACTCGGCGGCTTTCGGCCACGCTCCGCCGCAGGGTGTAGCTGCTGTCGAGCCCACGACAAGCATAGCTCCTGCACCCGGCGCTGAGCCTGGCCTCGGATCTCTGCGGCGCCGATCGCGCTCGGCACCATCGTCCACGCATCGTGCCTGCACCGGCGGCGGCAGGCGGCGGGCGGCACCGGCGCCGCATCACGCTCACGGCTGCGGCTCATCGCCCGAACTCTCGGTGCAGAGGCTCGGCAGCATCTGCCGCTGGTGCTGCATGCTGATGTTGGGCCCTGACGCGCCGACGTCACGCTCCCGCAATCTGGCTGCTGAACGCGCACCTCCTCCGTCCCCACACCCCTGCACGCGCGCCCAGCGCACGCAGCCAGTCAGCGTCGCCGCTCGAGCGTCGATAAGGCCCTGCAGCGGCTGCAGCGGCAGCAGGGCGTCAAGTGAGGCCGCGGCAGGGCTGCGCTGCGAATAGCGCCGCTGCCGCATGGCTCCCACGCTGCGGCGTGGGAACAGGCAGGGGACGGGAACGGGAACGAGGCAGGCAGCTGCTGCACGTGCCGTGTGCCCGTGCCGTGCCGAGGTTAGAAGCTGCAGGCCGGCACGCTACGGCCGCGCGGCGATGCGCTTCGCTCCACATCGCGCCTGCCTTTCTCTCTCTCTCTCTCCCATCGCACCTCGCACCGGCACTGGCGCTTCTCCCTCGCGCGCTCTCATCTCTCTCTCTCTCGAGCTGCAGCCCAGGGGCAACAATGCGCTGCGCCGTGCTCGCCGTGCTCGGCGCGGCCCTCAGTGTCGTCGGCGGCGGCGGCGGCAGTGCGCGCGCGGCACAGCAGGTGCCTCTCGCCGCGGCGTCGCCCGCAGCTCCGCCATCTGCCGCCTCCATCGACGCCGAGGCACTGCAGCCGCGCCTGCACGGCCGCTTCCTGCATCTCACCGACCTGCATCCGGACCCCTTCTACCGCACGGGCGCGCGCGTCGCCGCGGCGTGCCATGCGGATGCGGCGGGCAAGATGCGCGTGCGCAAGGGCAAGGGAGGAGGCGGCGAGAGGGAGGAGGAGCGCAGAGCGGGATACTGGGGCACGGCAAAGAGGTGCGTGTTTGAGGCAGGCCCCCTCCCCAAGCGGGGACAGGGGCGCCGCAGCAAAGTGCGAGGCAGGCAAAGGGGCGAGCGGCGGGCGAGAGACACGGGCGGGGCAGCATGAGGGGCAAGGGGAGAGCATGGCCGGTGGAGGAGCGGGGGGCAACACTGACACGGGCCATTGCACAGCGACTGCGACTCGCCGCCGCGCCTCGTCTCGGCCTCGCTCGACTGGGCCGCCCTGCACTGGCAGGCGCCGCCGCGCGCCGCCGCCGCCGCCGCTGCCGCCGCCAACAGCTCGGCGCAGCCCGGCCTCGACTTCATCCTCTGGACCGGCGACTCGGCGCGGCACGACATCGACTCGCGCCACGCGCGCACGCGCGCCGAGATCTACGCGCTCAACACGTGGACGCTGCGCCAGCTCGAGGCGCGCTTCCCGGGCGTGCCGCTCGTGCCGAGGTGTGTGTTGTGTGTGTGTGTGTGTGTGTGTGTGGCTGGAGGCCTCGTGGTGCCAGCTTGCGGCCCGGCTTGCCTGCTGCTGACCCGCCTCCCTGCGATGCAGCATCGGCAACAATGACATTGTGCGCCTTGCCGGCCCTCCGGTGCATCGCTGGCTGCCGCACCCAGACTGACACCCCCCCCACTGCGCGTGCCGGCAGTTCCCGCACAACATCATGTTTCCCGGCCCCAACGACATCACAAAGGCCTACACGGCCCTCTGGCGCGACCACATTCCCGAGGACCAGATCCACACGTTCTACGTCGGCGGCTACTACGCCAAGCCCGTCGTGCCGGGCCTCGTGGTGCTGAGTCTCAACACGCTGGTGCGTGTGTGTGTGTGTGTGTGTTGCTGCGCAGCGTGCCACCTCGGCACATTTGCACGCCCCACCTCGGGAGCCAGCCGGGTGGCGCTGACGCGAACTGCCCTGACCCCTCCCTCTGCCGGGCCTCTCCTTGCACACACGGACACACACAGTGGTTCTACGACTCCAACAAGGCCGTCGACGGCTGTCGGCGCCGCGCCTCGGACCCCGGCACGCGCCATCTCGACTGGCTCGAGGCGCAGCTGGGCATGCTGCGCAGGCGGCGCAAGCAGGCGCATCTCATTGGCCATGTGCCGCCCACGGCGGGCAACTACTTTGCGCGCTGTGCGTGGCTCTGCCCCTGCCCCGTGGCCTCCCCCGCTCGTGATGCTGCATTCTGCTGACTCAGGTTGAACCTGACCCACAGGCTACGATCGCTACACGGACATCGTGCTGCGCTTCCAGGACACCATTGTCGCACAGCACTACGGCCACATGAACATCGACGCCTTCTTTGTGCAGGAGGAGCCGCACGACTCGCTCGCCGCTGCCGCACGCACGTCGGAGGCGGAGGCGGAGGAGGAGCAGGCGGCGGCAGCAGCACCCACGCGCCTGGGCGCGCTCAGCATCAGCGGCGACCTGCGCGACGACTACGCGACGCTGCCGGGGCGCGCCAGCACCAATCTCGACCTCTACCACGCCTTCTTTGCCGCGCCGAGCATCATCCCGTGCGTAACGATGTGGATGGGAGAGGCAACCGGCGTC